CATTTAATTTGCTTTAGGTCGCATCTTCTATGTGATCTATTCGTGCTCTTGACGCTCCAGATATCCCTTGGGTGAAATTTAGATGCCGTAACCACTTGCATCAAAAGAACTAACCCGGCAGCCAATACTTTTTATTCACAAAGGAATACCGACCTATCTAAGAATCGGCGATTTGCAGATCCTGTTCTAGTGTATCTTGCGAGTTTTGTATCATGTTAAAATATCTTGCTTGCAAACATCCCCGATAGCGCATCCTCCTAAGTAATTAAAGGCCAACACATTTTTTACTACCAACGATGCTACGGATGACAAATTATATTACAACTAACAACGAAATATCTGACAAAATTTTTAAAGAAAATAATAAATGTTAGAAAAATCTTTTTTTAAAGTTATTATCCTTATAATACTTAATTAAAAAGGTTAAATAATCAATTATTAAAAAACATGAAGTTTATGAAAGCTATTAACTTTTTAATGTTCGAAATATTTACGTTTATGAAAGAAATAAAACAAATTTATTTTTTCGTATTTTAAAAATAAGTTTTATAATATATTATTTTCTGAAAGAGAAAATGTAAATGTTAAACGAAGCATAGATATGTTAATAACTCGCTAAACTCGTTTATCGTTATAAATCTAATGTTTGATGTAGGTCTATACTCTTTCTACAATACAAAAGCAGTAAAATGTTGATGGGATCAGTGAAATTGTTTCTCTCTCTAAATAAGTCTACAGCAATTTACTAGACATTCTTTTTCTTCAAATACTTCTATCTACTAATGATACGATTATTGGGAAAATATATCCAATTTTTTTTCCTAGTGTCTGAGAGTTTGTAAGAAGTTTCAGATAGACCAATTGAACCAATTATTAACAACTGACTAGACGATTTTCGAAATCAAGTTAAAATCGTGGGGGGAAGAATCGAAATAAGCACGAATAAATATAATTTTAATTTTCCTATTCTTGTATTTCTTAAATTAAATTTGAAATAATAAATACTTTTATGATATTTTCTATTGAAACTTACATTGAAGATCTACAATAAATAGTGTATTCAGGGAACGTTTAAAAAAAAAAGGAATCTCTCTCTGTTATCGAAACAATATACAGTATCAGAATAATTGTTACTGCAAATCCTATGACCACTTAATCCGATTACGAGAACGATTAAAAAGAATCTTAGTTTGTTCAATGCATTCCAAATCCTTTTAAATTAAAAGTCATTTTGAAGAAGTAATATTTAAAAATGACATTAATTATCTCCGCATCTAAATATTAAGAAGATAAAAGTGCTTATTAGAATTTTTTTATCTTTAAATCATTTAGTTTTTTTTGGTTTTAATATTTAAATAACAAATTGGTATTTTAAAAATGTAAATGTGCCTATTATATCTAAATAGAAAAATTGAGCTAATATTAAGAATATCTTGTAATGGTATAGTTGATTAAATATATAATTTTATGAAAAAGTCAAGAAATTAATTATTTAATTTGGTTTATATTAATGTAAAATTATGAGCGTTAAAATATTTTTATTTAAATATTTATTAATTTTAAATAAACATTATATTTAATGGGCACAGACTTGAGTAACTTATATTTGTATTAATGATTTATGTATTTTTTGTGTGATTATTTGTATACAAACCATAGTTAATTACATAGTGTAGAATTAAATGTATAATTTCACTTCTGATTCTTTTCCATTTGTTTAAATGGATATCAATAAAATAGAGTTTTTACTAAGTTTTTATCTCTTTTTTTAGTGACATGATCTTATCTATGATTTTTTTTTCTCCTTACATATACGGTATATAAAAGCTTTTTCTCATCTAGTTATCACTTGTGAACATCTAGCATACAACTGGGCAGAGAAAAAGCGAAATCATTGTCTCCTAACAGAAGAAGACAGCCAAGTAGAAGAAAAGACGGAAAAGTAAAAGAGGACCAGCAAAAACTGTCTTCATCGTTCTGGTTGAAGATTGATGCAATCCTTTTGTTCACTAGCTATATGTTAAGCACCTCCTCGACTTTCAACATGTTATTTTCGTCGAATCATCTTTATTTTGAGTTTTTTGATAACAAAAAAAAGTACGAAACCGTACACCTTTTTCTTCGTTTCTTATAAAGACCAGCAGCTCGGAAAATTGACCGAATGATGCCATTTATAGAGATACCTTGTTTAACGTCGATTATACTGCAAAAATTTCCTTTTGAAAACTCCAAAATAAACAAAATATTCTTTCCGTTTCTAACATCCATTATAGAAGAATTTAACATGGCAATCTGCCATCCTCATCGCAATCCACTTAGATTTTTTTCCTTTCGTTTACGTTGCATGTTGCAGGAGACAATTAAATTGTTGGTTCAGAACTTTTTGTAGAAAGGAAAACGTCCTCATTAGAGTACGCTAATTGTTAACTCTACATTCTAAACGAATCGCCTTTAGAATAACTTCTTTAATTCTCTTAAAAGGGTTACATAATCAGAATTTTACAAAGAAGGAAGCGTTAAGCATATATTTGTACTCAAGTTTTTTATAAATTCAGCTTAATTTTTTCAAAAACAAATTACAGTATTTTTTTTATTCGCTTTAACAAGATGCGTGAATTTTATATGCATAATTTGTTTCACATATATAATTCACACATTTACATTTTGAAATATAATACGAGTCTCCATTTGTCTCGAAATGTAATATGCGCGTTTTCAAACGTAAATTAGATTTATTATCAATAACATATATATTTCAACTATTAAAAAATGAAAGAACAATGTAATTTGATGAATTGCTAAAATTTAAAATTCAAATTTCCGTAGGAGAAAATATATGACCACAAAATTATTTTAAAAATTCCTTTATAAAAAAAATAACATCATAACTGAATAAATAATGCTATAATAAAAATTATTTTTAAATGTCATACTATTTATCCATTAAGTAGAATAAATTTTTTCAATTATAAAATAGAGAATTTTCGAAGAATAAAAATTCACTTGTACGGTAATTTCGCTAATTAAATCCATTATATTATATATATATATTCACGTTAAAACATAGTTTAAAAATTTAAAATATATATAATTATAGTTTTTAAATTCTAATTTATTCTTTTAAATTTATAAATTATTATTTTTTTGGTAAGAGATTTTTCTATCAAGTTAATTAGCTTTATCTGAATACTAGCCAACTTAATTCGCATAATTGTTTTTTGTTTTAGTCGTAATGTTGATCAAAACAATGTTGTTAGTTAATTAATAAGATATATAATTCATCCATCCTTTAAGTTAATGTACCGAGATTCAATTATCTATCTATCTTAAAAAGGATTTTTTGTGTTTTTAGGAAAATAACGATCTTTAATGCATCTTTTGCGAACTGAAAATGTTTTTAGATCATTATACTTAGGGATAAAATTTGATATTAAAAATTCGAATATTAGAATCGAGTAATATAAATTTTGCAATTTAAAAGAGTGTATATATTTTAAATAATAATATCTTTATCCTCCCACTAAAGAAAGGATAAAGGATACTTTAACCGAATATTTCTCGATCTCCAACAGATGTTGAATTTTAAACAATTTTGTTTGGAACATCTGTTGAAATAAACTTGATGGATCATTCGTGCAAACAATAACTGAGGCGGCAAAACTTAAATTTGTGGGAAACAATAACATCTTGCAATGTCAGCAAACAAAAGAATGAGATGATTCGATGTTCTGACATCTCTTCTATTCGGTACGTCATCTACTTCACAAAAATCGTAAAAATTTAACGACTCGACTTCTTTTTTTCTCGAAATATTATCATCTCTTGAGGAATGGATTGTTCGATGTTTGTTCTACTTTAATGCTAAGTCTGACTTATATTTTATTGTTAGCTATCCGAAATCGGCTAACTGAGTCAAGAAATATATAGAAAAAAATATATAGATAATATAAATATTATATTAAAAGTACTCTTGAGATGTTTTTCTTTCATAGATTTACATTTTTTATTTAGAATATAGTTACGTAGTCTCAAAAGAAAATTTTAAAATAAATTACATTTTATTTCGGTATAAACTCTATTAAAATAACAAAAAATAAGTCAAGATTTACAGCAAAAAATACTTTTTTAAATATATTAGTTGTTATTTATTGATAAAGTATTTTCCTTGTTTATTTGCATACTTTTTTCCTTCGAAGAATTTCTTAAAGACTTTGATTACTTTAATTAAAAAACATTCCGTTGACTGATTTAAAACATTCACTTTTTACGTTCTATTTGATTATTCACTTACCGATAAATTTTACTGCTTCTTTTATGTATAAATAAATCATTAGAAAATAAAAAATGTTTAGAAGAATTAATTAGATTAAATTATTTAAAATATTTTTGTTAATCGATTCGTTTTAAATTGAAAGTTTTATCAACTTATGCATAAAATATTACATCAAATTAAAATTTTAGTTTTTTATATTTGATATAATATCAATATAACGAAGAAAAAAATAATTAAAAAATAATACTTCAAATTTTTATAAGCAATGAATAAAAATGATTATCTAAATAAATTATTACTTAATATAAATTTAAAATATTTAAATTTTAATTAGTAACATCTCGGTTAATTAACTAATATTAAATAATTAAAATATACTTTAATTAAGTTAGTAATATTTTGATTATTAATGGTTAANTGGGTACATCACTTCTGAAGTGCGGTGCAACCTCTCGGACATGTCAGCTCCTATATAGCCCACTGAGAAGTTTCAAACAAATTTTAAAGTTTAATTTTAGAATATTTTAAAAATTGCAATTTTATAGCTACTGAAAATTCAGTTTGAATAATTCATAATAGAAACCTACGTAAAATATCTGTATTCGGTGGTATTATATCTGGAGATATTTTATTTTCAATACATTTTTTATCATTTTAAAAATGGTTTATAAGTTACATGTGAAACTACAATAATTTCCTTATAAAAAAAGAAACTAATTAGTCTGTGCCTATTCAAATCATGTCTATTTTAGCACCAATGAATGATCTATACACAGTAAAGATGATGATATACAAAGCCATAATAAACTGTTCTTTTCCGAGTGTTGTGCAAATAGATTTGTACAGTCTCCGGTGATATATTTGTACAGAGTCATTTATTGAGTTCTCATCTCGAAAATCTTTTAGAAGACGTCACTTAGTGATCACTTAAATACACAAATATTAAAACAAATATATGTTTGTTCGGCAAATGATGTCTTCTAAGAAATTCCTTTAGAGTCTCATAAACGTTTCCATTTTCCTGCAAGGAAATAAAATTATATAGATTATATTAAATGAAATTAATTCAAGTAACTTACTCATCGTTGAAAAGAACGATAAACATCAAGAAAATGAAGTATTAGGATGATTACTTCACGTATTTCTTCTTGATAAAAATAGCTAAATTTCATAAAATTAATCTTGAAAATATGTTTGAAAAATGAATTTGGGAAGATAATCACTTCTTACATTTGAAAAGAAGAGTTTGAATAATGAAAATGACAAAAATGCAGGTCTTGTTTAAAACAAACCATTCAGATATGCTGATAACAATTCTCGTTCGGGAATTGTCTCAACAGGATGAATTATTCATTTTCATGATTAACTACTCCGAATACAAAGAGAAAAGAAAGGTTTGCAACACTTCTCTTTTTGAATGATAATAACTAATAAGATAATCAAACGAAATTAGGCCAAATGATGCCAGAAACGATAACCACTTCTATATTTGATCATTAGAAGGAGGGTAAAAAAGAAATGGAGAAGAAATCGGATAAGCTGGGAACTGAAGGCATATTTCCTGCTTGCACTTTAGCAATAATTGACTGCCAACCGAATCGGTCAGATGCGATTAATCTGTTTTTCATTGTTATTTATAGTTAGGCCTATATTTTTTGCCAATCAACAACATGTTTTAAATAACTCTTAAAATCCAGCTCTCATTTGTTATACTAATATTAAAAACTTCCTATTGATATAAATTAATTTGAAATATATAAAAATTAATCGCTGAAAATTAAATGAGATAAGAGAAAGTTTCTGAAAAGATAAAATATTTATAATTTAGTTGTTAAATATTTCAATGAAAAACTAGAAATATTTTTTTGTCATTTTTTTTAAAGAAAATGAAGTTAGAATTGAGTTAGTTATCGATATTTTTCGTTTTCGCTTTAGCTTTTTTATTTATCGATTTTACATTGAAGTAGAAGGCTAGAGTAAGTCTTTTTTTAGTTCAAACCTACCTGTATAGTAACAGGATGCCAGTTCCCTATCGAATTCAGTAGATGAACAGGACAGTGCTGTACAAATGTAGAAATGCTGATGGTTGTAGCCGGAGATGGACCTTCTTCACCTGACCATCTCTACTGAAGAGCATCGCATGGAATTCACAATGTTGTGGTAACCGTCGAGTGGACAGGAGAGATACCTGAAGGCTGTTGCGAATGTAATGAGTTTGTGCCAACTCAATTTACCAATATATTTAGTGCAATCAGCTTAAATAGTCTATTTTTTATTTTTATATCTTAAAGACTAAAATATATATAACTAGACATCTTTTATTATTTTAAACATTAGATAAACAAGAAATCAGATAAATACCACTAAATAATAATTAGGTCTACTATCTTTATTTAATAGAAATGATTGCTCACTGCAAGATTAATGAAATTACTTTCGAATACAATTAATTAAAGGTTAAATTAATTTACTTGTTAAAACAAACATTTAGATTCTACGCTTCAGGAACTCTGTAACTAATTGTATTAATTTAGTTAACGAAAGCTTTTATTTTGACTGTCAACTAAAAATAAAAATGTAGATTGAAAAATACTCTAGAGACATTTAAAAAACTTAAAAATAAAAATTATTCTAGGTTATTGATTGAAATTTTATCATAAAAATTTCTTCTAGAATGATTAAATTAAAGAATATTAAAAACTAGCTCTGTTGATAAACATTAATATTAATTACGGTACGTCAAATGAAGATAATGTACTTCCTACACTGGCGAGTTATTTTATATGTATTTATTAAAAGCAATTAACAATAATGAAAGGAAGGTTTTATGTTCTGTTATTCAATTAGAGAACTTTAGTGAGGGAGACGCACCATTCCTCTCATCTGGATGTCATTCGTGATGGGCCATTCCGGTGTCTGCCTGTATCTGTCCAGCTCTTGACTCTGTTCCTGATGTAACATCATTCGGGTGGGCCTTCGAATTTCAGGATAATCGGGATCTGGCATTGGACGCCTGACAGTTGGTGGACGGGGAAGTTCGACATATGCAGGATCTACACTGTACTGTCAGTAAGATAGAGGTCAAATTTAATAAAAGATAAGTTGTACTCTTTTACGCGCATTTTCATTTTTAATGTTGTTTTGAGTAGAATGAATAGGAAATCATCTAGTTTTTTGGCGCTTTTTTGGAACTGGGAGCGTTATTTTAGAATTTAAAAAATATTTGTTTTACATAAAATGTTTCAAAAATTGAAATTTGATAAAAGTTTCGATCAAAATTTATATTAAAAATATTTAATCTTTCTTCTTTAAAATAAGGAAATATTCTAAGGAAAATAACCTTTATTTTCATTCGTTATTGAAAATAATGTACTAGAAAAATTTTAAAATACAATTTTTCCTTGGATTATATTATGTTTAAAAATTTCTTTTGGTAAATATTAAACTAAACTCACATTTTAAATTTTACAATAATTAATAAGAGTTTACGTCTCAAACAGGGAGAAAATCATTATCACTTAAGTAACTTGACCTCAACCAATCAATAATGTTGGCATCGATTACTTGGTGAATTATTCCCAAGATACCATTAGTTTCAATATGGAGTTAACACTTACTTGTCTATACTTCATGGCTTGATTGCCTGTAATAGAATGTAAAGGATCTGTCATTGACATAACTGATGGGTACATCACTTCTGAAGTGCGGTGCAACCTCTCGGACATGTCAGCTCCTATATAGCCCACTGAGAAGTTTCAAACAAATTTTAAAGTTTAATTTTAGAATATTTTAAAAATTGCAATTTTATAGCTACTGAAAATTCAGTTTGAATAATTCATAATAGAAACCTACGTAAAATATCTGTATTCGGTGGTATTATATCTGGACCTTTTTCTGTACTTTCTGGTATATCATCTGTATCTTTTTTCAGTGGTGTATCACACCTAAACGAAAATTTATATTATTTTTAATAAATTATAAAGCTTAATACATATATACACATCTGTTCTAAACTCACTTGTTAATACTTTCTTGTGGAAGGGAACCTGAAATGAATGATTAAAGTATTTGAAAAATTTCAAATTTCACAAAAGTAATATTAGTTTTTAAACTTTATACATGTTCATTAATGGCTATCTGAGTGCAAAGAAGTAATATCTGTCTTTTTGAAGACATTACCTTTGTCAGAACGATCGGATTGCAATTTCATTACTAGTGTGACGATAATCGCAACCAGAACTAAAGCTCCGATAACACCAATAAGAACTCCTAAAATGGGACTGACTGCAGCTTCTTCTTCGTTAGCTAAATATAGAAACTCGGTTTGAAGATAAAAAACATGAAAAAAACCGTTCAAATTTTTATTGCTTTGCCTACACGATTTTGCTAACAATAACAGAATGAGATAAAACAAATTAAAAAATTAAATTTTATGTAATTTCGAGTCAAATAAATTTTATCATCATATGTTTCATAACAGATTTAATTTCAAGTTTTAGTTTAATGGAGTTACCGATATATTTAATATAAATGTCAGTTTAACGCTTAGAAGTTGATAAAGATGGCATCTAGAACTAGATATGAAACTTCTTCCAATATTCTTAATTACAGATAACTTAATATGTAAATTAATTCTAATCTAATAATAAAGTTTAGAATTGCTTTCACTTAAATTTTAGAATTGAAATGATGCAAATTGACATAAAGTTATAAACTTATTTGAATAGTGTAGGAATTAAATAACAAAGATTGAGAAAATTACAGCATTTAAAAGAAGTTAAATGTGTTAATATTCATCATCAACACACTGATCTGTTACAAGTTGAAATGCGATATGAGTAAAATAATTATCGTATTTCATTAACTCACAATTTACTTAATTATCAGTAATAATAAGTTCAAGAGAATTTGCTATTTCATATAAAGAATACTTTATACTGTAATTGAAGCCAACTCTATAGGTATCGTTGTAACAGAAACATTTCAAGAAAGTAAATTAATTAAAATAGTTTTTAATTTGTTTTATTATAAAATCGAATAACTTAATTCTTAATAATTAATCTCATGTTTAACCTATGAAATCCTTGTTTCGAAAGTGATTAGCATTATTAGAATATTAATTTGGTGTAAATCGATATGATTAAAATGCGTTAAATCCTTTAATTAAAATACGTTCTTCCATGTAAATAATTTTTTAAAATGAGATCCTACCTGTCCGTCTTTCTGCAGGTGGTAATGTATTTGCCATTAGTGCTACCGAATTGCTTCTACCCTTGTTGTTGGAGGCGTAAAGTACCAAAACATACGAAGTGCCTTCTGGAAGATTTTGAACATTAAACACGGGGAGGTCCTGAGATGTCAAGTTCACCTGAAGATGTTCGATTGCTGAGTTATATACCTCGAGATGAAACTGCTGCTGCATTCCACCATCATAGCCAGCTTCACATTCTACCGTTAAAGAATTTGTCGTTAGATTTGTCACTAGACAGCCCTTAACAGAGTCTGGAGGGCCTGAAACAAAAAATTGTTGCGATAAATTTCGATGGGAAGCCATAAGGTGGTCTTACTATCACCTAATAACTCTTGAAGTCAGCTTGTTGGTAACATTATGGATTATTTTTGTTCTTACTTTTCGACATTTTAAACTGTTATTTTATTTGGTAAATTTTTATTTAAAATAAATATATTTATATGCAAATAAATCAAGCTAAAATCGTACTTTTAAATGTCAATATTACTATATTTTATTCTTAAAATTGTAATCCTTACATCTTTTTAACAGAATAATGATGTTTAGAAAAAGATTCTTTATTTTTATAGTAAAACAAAATCCTAAAATACTTTTACTAAACTGCCGGTATTCTTTAAGAGATATCACACTTTGTGATCAGTAAATCCCATATTTTTCTTACACATTCCATCAACTACTAAAGAAATACACTAATGGATTTTCTAGTTGCTAGAAAAAAAAGTTTATGCATTTCTTCTATGAAGTACTTATAAGGAATCTCTTTCATCCGTTGTCACCATTGCTACTTCTCTATAGAATAAGAGGAAATGAATTCAAACTATTTATTTACTTTTTTTTATAAATACCAAAAACCCCGGTTTCGATTGAAAGATTTTATTTTTTTCCTATAAAAAAACTTAAACTGTAAATAAAAATATATCTCCGAAGAAAATTTAAGAAAGAAAAATAAAATAAATATATGTTACTAAAATAAATTCAATTTCTATACCGTCGCATGAATCAAAGGCTTATCTGTTGTTTTTATGTCATTATTAAAATATTTATATAGATTAACACATAATATTCTGTGCAATCACTACAGTTAACTTTAATGCATATTTTTAAATTTCTCCAGAATAAATTTCGTAAAAGCTAGAATCTTTATCTGCCCACTATAACGGCAACAGCGACTATATCATCAAAGGAACATTTTTTTTTTTTATCAAGAAGGAAATACCTGCAGGTATGAGTCTAATGACGCAAGGCTCCTTCTGATATCCAATAATATTCTGGCCCCAACACAACAAAGCACCATATCCAGACACAGACCAGGGAGTGTAAGTAACCGTGCTGCTGGTACCGTTACTAATATGAGTTGTTATCTCTATGTTGTCAACCGAATTATTTAACGACCAACGAAATTTAACATTTTCTGGACTCGCTTCTACATCACAAGTAACTTCTGTAGCTTCATCTCGAGCAACTCCATATACAGATTTTAAGGGATTTTTACAAATAGGAGCATCTAGGAAGAAAAAGAGATAAATTTAATTAAACGTAGTTAGATAATTTATAACGAATGATAAAGCTTATATAAACCTTATATAAACTTACACTGTACTTCTAACGGTATTTTATTACTTGCTCCTTCTCCTTCTACATTAGTAGCCGTACATTGATAAAATCCTCTGTGATCTCTTTTAACTTTTTGAAGTACTAAGGACTGATTACTAACGATGATGCCCGCGGAAGTATTACTATATAATGGTTTCCCTTGAAAATTCCAGCCAACGTCTGTTACCCAAGGATTAGCTTTGATATTACATTCGAAATAAACATCGCTGCCTTCTTTGATAGCAGTATGTTGAATGTTAGCACCGAAATCCAATGTAATATTTGGCACATCTGTAAAAACATTGTTTATGATAAAGCATTTTTCATTTTATAGCATGTTTTCGAAGTTAAACTATATTTAATGTAAATATATATATATTGATAGATTGATAGGTTTAATATTAAAGATAGAAGCTCGAAACATTAAAATTTAAATTTCAAATAATTAAAAAATGAAATATTTAAATTAATTTTAATTTAAAAAAATATTTTTATTGCTTACACTGTTTATAAAAATTAATAAAAGAGAAAAGAATAAATGTGAATTAGGGATAAATCTCCATTCTCTACCGTAATAATCATTTTTACTTCACTAGAGAAGTTGTTATTGCATTTCCTTTTTTCCGGTTTTTTCTTTTATATATATATATATATATATATAAAAGAGCCGTATAAGTTTCATCTGACTCTCTTATAATTATTTGAATTTTTTTCTTCAGATTCTACCGGATTTACTAGGAACCTAAATTTTTACCGTTATGCGACAGAAAACGTGTAATTTACCAAACATTCGTCTAAAGTGGAAGAAAATTACTTTGCGTGATAGCCTATAGTCTCGAAAGGAAAGAAATATAGAAAAATAGAAAAAAGTATTTGCTACTGGCACGCAATAACCGACACAAGAAAAATACTCTCAGTGATGGTATTATTTTCGTAGTTAGAAGAAAGATGTCCTCCCTTTTGAGACCAAAGAAAACTTTCTATACCCTTAGAACTTCCATTAGGACTTGAATTGAACAATCGCTTTTTAAATTATTAGATAAAAATTATGATTATAGTGACTTGAAATATGTCGTTTTTGGTCGTAAAATAATGATTTATCTTTTGTTAAACTATACGTTAAATATAGCAACACGTTTTCTTTTTAAATCCGTTTTATTCAGAAATTTATGAGAAAATAATGATATCATTAAATATGTCTAAAATTTCGAAAAAAATTTCGGAAATTCGATACTGAAACATGAATAATAATAATTATAAAGGAATCGAACGATATAAAATTTAATATAGACTAGATGAGATTGACAATTAGTGTTTGGGGTAAAAAAAACGATAATTTTTTCATTAAAGAGACTAAAAGCGAATTTTAATATTAGTGATTTACGTATTTTTATTGCAATCATTCAAATTATTGAAAAATGAAAGTGAAACTAAATTATTATTCCCTCAACAGATTTAATTAGATTGATGCCTATGTAAATGAAAGCCGGGCTCTTAAATTATATTATACTCTTTATGTAACAAAAGTAATCGAATTTGAATCACTAATTGTGCAAAAATCACTTTTAGTTTTCTGTCTGTTGTTACTCTTAAAGGGAGTTGCGATCTGTATTAATTATACATAAAACTTTGTCTCCAGTAATGACCATCACTTGAAATTTTAATTACTGCACACAGAGGGATTTATAATCTCTCTTATTAACTTACAAAAGACAGCAATATTTAATTAACTTATGTTTCTATTCAAACTGTCATCAATTCCATAAAAAGTTATAAACTTTTTAACGAGAAATAACTAACTACAACCTACAGCGATGTCAACATTTTGAGATCAGAGATCAGATTTCGATTGTTATATTTCTGTTAACAATTTTATATATAGAGAGAATAAGTTTTTATTTTTGAAAAGCTGGAGTGAGATCTTAGCCTTTTGTTTTTCACTCTTTCTTATTTATTTCATACTTTTAATTTGCTGAAAGAACTAGATATTCTATATAAAATGAAAGATGAGACCGTTTTGAGAATCGAATTTTAGTTTTGAATATCTAATTCTGAATCACCACAGAGAGTCACTTAGACAAATAACATTACCTTCTAATGAAACAGTTCTAATAATCATTAACTAACCAGCAAAAATAAGATATGAACCTGGACAAAATATCGATCATTCAGACATCTTCATTCATATCTATCCCATAAGAAAATGAGATTTCCCTGTTCTTCTACTTTAATTGAGTCGTCACTTTTGGGGGGAACTTACAGAACACATTCATCACCCAACTGTCTTGAAGATCGTCGTGGACTAGCGAAGGATGATCCGATCTACATGTGAGTACTTTTCCGTTGTCATCTGCGGAAGGAATGATGGTGAGTACAGAGGTAGTCACGTTTCCACCTTCCGTGATGCTCTCCACGGCATTGCGTAACTTTTTCCCATCTTTCCACCAAGTAATGGTTGCCGGAGGACGGGAACCTGTCGATTCACAAGTCAACTTGGCTTTTTTTCCGGCCGATACGTGAGATAAACTTGTGATGAGATGGACATCCAACGGCTTTACTGCATAAAAAAAGTTACACTGATCAACCTTAACTGCATTAGTTTTTTGAAATATCAAACTATAAACTGTACATTTTTTGTTTACTATGATTAATATTTAATACCGTGACATGTTAAAAATGCATATATTTTGTTGTTTTTTTACTTTATGTAAACATTTTAATATTATTAAAGTCGCATGAATCAAAGGCTTATCTGTTGTTTTTATGTCATTATTAAAATATTTATATAGATTAACACATAATATTCTGTGCAATCACTACAGTTAACTTTAATGCATATTTTTAAATTTCTCCAGAATAAATTTCGTAAAAGCTAGAATCTTTATCTGCCCACTATAACGGCAACAGCGACTATATCATCAAAGGAACATTTTTTTTTTATCAAGAAGGAAATACCTGCAGGTATGAGTCTAATGACGCAAGGCTCCTTCTGATATCCAATAATATTCTGGCCCCAACACAACAAAGCACCATATCCAGACACAGACCAGGGAGTGTAAGTAACCGTGCTGCTGGTACCGTTACTAATATGAGTTGTTATCTCTATGTTGTCAACCGAATTATTTAACGACCAACGAAATTTAACATTTTCTGGACTCGCTTCTACATCACAAGTAACTTNGTATCGATTTTGCGAAATGTCTGTGGTATTACTTTACTTAACAAAGAGCAAGTGCCATACGGTTGGTAGAGATATTAACGATTGCTGTTGCTACATCTCACGGACGCTGTTAAAGTTTTTATTGAAAAGTACATTTAAATAATATAAAAATGCTATTAAGTTTAAAAAGGAATAAAATACAGTAGGCCTATATGATTTAAATATAGAATAAAATTTATTATTATAAATTTTTGTGTAACACTGTTTGTTTGCGGTTGTCAACAAATATCTTTTTTTATATTAAGAAAAATAAAATGTAAACTATGCATAAAAGATTTGTTTACGATAAGTCACTTAAAGTGTTTAAACTATTAAAATACTTTCTGAAGAAGTACAATATTTACAAAGCTTTCATTGAAGATATTTAAAATAATTATCTTCTTGAAGACATTTTCTTATTTTATTAAAATTGAAGTTAGAATACAAACAATGAAAAAATAACGAATTCGACTGATCTCATTCGATTTTCTCTTTACTCGTAGTTGAATATTTCAAATTTCACCTTGGCTTGAAAAGATGAAGAAAGTCGTTTATCTAAAATAGTGAAGGCAGTTAATAGATTTCTCGTCTGAGTCGAATGTATTTTTCATTTACTTGTTTAAGTTTTTGATTTACGGGAGGTAACGCCTTTCTTTCATCTTGTTTAGTGAACAAAGTCCATCATTCTCTATAAAGTTGGACCATGGGAATGATTAGTGAGTTGCGTTGCGCCTGTACGATTCGCAGAAGTGCTGATTAACTAGGTTGATTTCATCGATTTGACATTAGTAAGTAACCTGGACAGTCGAATCGATATACATCCCTTGTACTGTGTCATCGTATGTTCACCAATCTTGTGCCACTTGCACGTTTTAGCGAGAATATTTAATAATACTTGTCATGCTGATGACAAATATTATGTAAAATAACAGTACTCTTTCTACATGCTGTACTCGTGTGGAATATTTAAAAAGTCGAAAAATAAATTAGCGGTAAGTAATTAGAAGAGTCTTATGCCACCAGAAAATAACGTTACAAAAGAGTTTTGAAACTGGATTCTTGTCAATTTAAGTTATTTTAAAGTTGATGTTGAATTATTACAAGACGAAAAGTTAGAAATTCACAGTAATTTGATGAAAATTGAAGAGTTATGCAAGTAGTCACGCAATAGTAACTAAGGAAGCTGAATATTTATTGATTTTCTTTTAAGGAACTTAATTATAGTTCCTGATTTTCTTGAATAAAATATGTTATTTAAAAAAGAATTAATGCAATTTCTTTTTATAGAATTATCAAATAATTTCCAGTTTTAATTTGATCCAATGTAGTTAGGTTTGATGTGATAAACCATCTGCAAATACAAAATTAAATAAAACAATATCTGAATATAAAATAAGAAACGTAGACAGTGAGAGATAAAACTAATCCAATATAAATTAATTTTGACCGAAATCGGATTTTGAATCAGCATTTTTACTTTTTATTATTTCAGATAATATCTGTTTATGAAGTAGTAGTGTTTTCAGTTTAAATTCGTTAATAAAAATAACAATCAATTAAAAAATTAAATCAATTTGCATGAATAAAAACTAAATTCCCTTTATCTAAATAATTAATTAATAAATTAAATGTTATAATTTATTATAGTGACTTTTTCTTTTGCAAGAAAATTCATTTATTTTTTCGCGAGTCATAAAATAGTTTAGCTTTATAAGAAACTTAAACAATTAATCACGATATTTATCCTAAGAGTAAATTTGAATATCCGAATTAAATCATCAAGTAGGAGAATTTGAATTGATAATGTAATTTATAACACCATATAAATTTCCGCATTGGCAATTTTATTTATTTAACTGAGTATAAAGAATAAATAACAGTGGAATGTTTTTATTAATTAAATTAATTTTTTTGGAATTAATTTCATTTAAAGATTTTATCAAATTTAATGGAGATGGTTAAGCTTTGCTGAAATTTACTTTCCCATTGGTATACAAATGATATTCAAATACTTCATGTGAAAGAAAAAATGAAAACATAAATGGTTTTTCAAAATGCTTTTCCTACATTTTCAGATTACAAATTGAATCACAGAGTGAGAACTTGGATCCATTAACATTTCGATCGTTTACGTACACAAGAGTATATAAAGTAAGCAAAAATATAATTGTAAATATACGATAAATATATATATAATTTAGATTTGATATTAAACATTATCTGGTGCCGAGTATCTAAAATCCCTATTTATTAATAAAAAACTTTTTATGAAAATATCAGAAATATGTCAAAAAAAAATTTTTTTGCTTGCTTTAAAATATCGGCATGTCAGATAAAGTACTATAAATTAAACCAAAATTCATATTTTATTATATCAATATTTGTTTATTCAAAACAAACTTTGTACATTATGAAATAGTAATGCAAACTAACTCTACATTTAATAAATTTTAAAGATATAAAATATCTTTAAAGTGTTTTGTTATTTGTTTTATAGCAATAACTTAATATATCATATGAAAATTATATACAAGAAGGAATATAAGTATAAATCCATATTTATCGCTTCGACGTTTGAATTTGTGGCCTAGTGATCATTTTTCTGCCATACTTTTAACGTAATAACTGTCAATCCGGCCATTGTTTCTTATAAATATGCTGTAAAACACTGCATTACATAAATCATCGATAGACGACGCCTGAAAAATCTTCCGCTAGTTATTAATCGCTTATGCCTTGCATCTTTCATTTTTTTACCCTCAAAATACAACGACATTTTAGCTTGGTAAGATCTCTAATCTGTGGGGAAACGTAAACTTTTCTTTTTAAAAAATACGTTTTTAAATTAGTTTTTACGATGAGATGGTAAAACAACTAAAATAGATTGATCGCCACGTTTAAAATAATGGCGAATGAAAGTCTAAAAATTCTTTAATATTAAAAAAATAAACAATGATGATTCCTTATTGACCAAACACATTTGTATGTAAAGTAAAGATATACTTTAAAAATCTCTAGTTTGGCAGAAGCACAGTTGAAAAGACCAGTTGACGGGTCGAAATCAAGTTTATCATCGAGTAGGCTTGGCGTATCGATTTTGCGAAATGTCTGTGGTATTACTTTACTTAACAAAGAGCAAGTGCCATACGGTTGGTAGAGATATTAACGATTGCTGTTGCTACATCTCACGGACATCAAAAGACACGCTTCGATTACTTTTATTATTGAACTAAATATGATTCTACTCCGAATAAAGTTTAGGCAATATCGGAATTTCAAAGTGGCAGATACTTATAAAATGATGTCCTCATCGATAAAAGATTCTAATATTGTTCATTGATTAATCGACTAGAACAACATTTTGAAGGACGATAATGCCATTTTCATCTCAAAAACTCCAAAACAATGGCATCAGAAACGTTTTAAAAGCATTTTTCATCCATTTAATATAGGAGAGTGTTGAGTTTTGTTTTTGGATGTTTCTATGGATATTGAACACTATAAATATCAATAGTGGAATATTGGTGATTCTTATTTGATCTATCGGATGATACTTTGATATGAAAACTGCCACATTTCGAAATCTGTTCCTTAGATTTCTATCAACATATTCATATTTTTAAAGTGCAACCTTTTAGAAATTCAACAGGATTTGATTTTATTTATTCTTTTGTTTATATCGAGATATAAAAGATGCCATTGAATAAAAGATAGAAAAGGCATTTAAAAATATATTGACATTTATCATAAAAATTTTTAAAAAATGTTCTCTATTTGCTCATATTAAAAATAACAGCATTAAAAAATATACTTTTTGAACTAAAATTATCATCTTTAGTAACTAAATATAAAAATTTGATTAACTTTTTATTATAATTTTAAATAAAAATTTATATTCTTCAAGTTTATTTAATCATTTCGTGTTTAAAACGATATTTATTTTATTTTTCATTTGCTAGGATTTCTGCTAAAAGAAAATAAGCTCAATTTAGAACTGAATAGTCTTACATTACTTTCAATGTTCAGATTATTTTCGAGAGTTTCTGAGAAATGCATTCAAAAGTTAAAACGTACCATTCAAAAATTGGTCGAGACGATTCGAGTTGTAGATTGGAATTAGTTTGCTTGCAGATTTTCTATTCTCCTTGAGAATAGAATGTAAAGCCGAAGAACGTTTCGACTCATTGAGTATCTTACTTAAATAGCAAATATATATACAAATCTTTGCTAATATATTTTGCAAGATTTATCTTGTCATCAAATCATTTCAGTTGAAAAAGTAAAATTTGTTCAATTGAAAAGTAAAAATTGACTCAAGTTAGAATTCAAAACGAAAAAAAACTTTGAAATATTTCCTA